AGATTTTGCATCTGTTCACGCTTGTGTGTTTTTAAAGGCTGTCTGAGTTACCAAATAATTTTTACCACTAAGCACATGGTTGGTTCAGGCTACTGGGATCTGTTGCGCATATTAATTCACCTTGTCCTCGAAACTAATTCATTAGAAATTTGGAGAAAAAAGGCGTCGCTTCCTTATTTCGGAGACCAGAATCATTTTTTTCACTTGGTTATGTTTACATTCTGATTAGCATTGATTTGGTGCTTCCACGATGACAAACATTCTTACGAATGCCTGTGGCACTCCCGCAACATTCCACTGGTTTAGAAATGAATATGAGAATGATTATGACGAAAAAAAAAACTGAATCCTTGCGTACTTACTGCGGCAGTTTTATGTACATATTTTAGAGCGCTTCCTTTCCCAAATCGGTAACTTTGAAAGTGGTCTATATTAACCCAGCACCTGCAAATGCTTTGGATTTTAATGATGATTATAACGTTTCCGAATTTCTTAAAGAATACAAACTAGGTGCATAAGAAATTTTATTCGAGTATTCTGCCGCGCCCACCGGGAAAAAATTCTAAAGCTGCTTCTAGAACATCAATATTTTTCTCACTTGAGCTGTTACATTGAACTTCGCCGGCTTATTTGCAGCGCACTCATAAACAAACGGTTGACTTGATTTGTGGGTTTTTCTAAGTCAGTAAATGTACTTAAAACTTGATAGTGAGTTTTCTCTCGTTTCAAAGTGGTGATATGTGTTGTATAGTGCAAATAATGACACCATTGAACTTTTCTCCGTAGCAATTTGTCGTTTTCTCTTTTATGCTCGAGACGTGATCAACCACAGATTGTGTCGTACCTCCATTCGTCATCCTATCACCATCTCTGCATACAGCTCTCGAACAGCTGTCGATGCCAATCGCAGTCGTCAACGTTTCTTTCACTTCGATAACGAGTCGTGAACGTTTGAGTGAGGGCACAGCTTGCGGCTATAACTTTTTCTTTGGATCTGTCTCGTGGAGACGGTCACGGGTATAGCGCTATAGATTATTCGCAAGTGGAGACAAAAATAGAAGTCGAAAATGAGCAAGTGAACGGTGATAAGTTTCTATTGGTTGTAGACTCAAGCTGTAGGGGGTACCTTGCTTTTGCTGATTTATCCAAACGAAGCTACCATGTGGGAGCCACCAAGAACGAGAAGCAATAGAAGCTAAATAGGGAATGTAAAATGACTAAGACTTGATTGAGACTTCTATTTTTGTCTCCACTCGCGAAATTTGGAAGAATTTGTATACTCGGTAGGCTTGGGCACAAAGCTGCTGTTTGGGCTGGAGATTTTCTAAACTTTGAGCGAAAGGATCGTTTGATATTTGTCGTTATAATATTAGGTTGTCAAGAAAATAATGTCGTTTTTTATTTGCTTGCTTTAACAAAGCAATCAGACTCAACGCAACAAAAGCTAAGGGGTACTGTTCGGTAGAGCAAAGCAAGCTCTACAAGATGGCTTTCATGATTTTGCGCCAAGCTCGATCCACAGAAAGTTCAAACTCAAAATCTGAAGATTTCCAAATGCCTAAAAAATCGAAAAAAAAATCAGATCTTCGTCCAAATAATTTCTACAGAGCTCCCACTCGCACAGGTCAATACTTCCGATATGTGATACCCATATGTGCAGTTGCTGTACTTTTTCCTTGAATAGAAACTGAGAAAATGAAAATTTTCGTAATATTTTCAAAGCAATGCCGAGCCGTTCTTGCATATGTGATTCTATACTACAAGCCTAGGTAAGTATAACTGTAGATTTTCAGCCCATTCCGAGCAGTAGTTTTCGAGAAATATCGAATTTAGCTTTCTTCTTTTCAGTTTCAGTGCTAAAAGCGACATTTCTCGAAAACTACCGCTCGGAATAGGCTGAAAATCTACAATCATATTTATCTAGGCTTGTAGTATAGAATCACATATGCAAGAACGGCTCAGCATTGCTTTAAAAAAACACGAAAATTTTCGTATTCTCAGTTTCTAGTCAAGGAAAAAGTACAGCAACTGCACATATGGGTATCACATATCGGAAGTATTGACCTGTGCGAGTGGGAGCTCTGTAGAAATTATTTGGACGAAGATCTGATTTTTTTCGATTTTTTGGGCATTTGGATAGTTGTGAATTTTGCTCAATTTACTGACCTGAATAATGCAGAGGAAATATCATGCCCGTAATTGGAGAAAAATAAAATATTCACAGTTTCGTTTTTCATTTACTTTAGTGTGGTACAAACTTTCCAGCATGTTGGTAGATCAAAATCCGGCTACTATCTAGAAAACTTTTTTAGTTGAACATTGGTAAATTTTTCTGCCCAAGATACTGTAAGGTGGAAGTTGTGCCAAGATTTTCCGCCTCAAGTATCGCTCTGAAGATATATTAGGTTGTCTCATAAATCTTTTCATACCTGAATTTCCAGAGACATAAATAAGTTTTTCTTGAACTCCTAATGGAATGCGTGGTACCGTTCGACAGATCAAAGCAAGCTCTACAAGATGGCATTCAAAAGTTCGCACCAAGCTTATCCGCAACAAGTTCCAAACCAAAATAAAAAAATTTTCGAATTTCCAAAAAAACGAAAATCATCATATCTCAGTTCAAAACAACTCTGCAATTTTCCCACTTTCTCATGCATATATTCCCCTCATCAGATATTTATACCTGACTTGCTGCATTTTTCTGATTACTAGAAACCAAGAAAAAATAATGCGCTAAATTTTCAAACTTTGCCCCGTATCAGTTCCGTGTTTCCCGCAAATAGGTGATCATATAGCTTATTCACTCAGAATTACTGCCACAAATTTACTCAATAATCAAACCAAACGAAAATCAAGGTCAGCTTCTGTCTTGATTTTGGTCACTGAAACTTCGAAATGTCCAAATCATCTTATCTAACTCCCTTTCTTCTCGATCTGATCATAGCTCAGCGTCATCAAGTTCTAGTTTTTCTCCGCCATCCGGAAATGACACCTGTAAGCTTCTAAATTCTTTATACAAACAAGATCGCATGTTCTCTGCTAGTGACCAGCTTTGATAAGTTCCGCAGCCAAGTCGTGTGCTGTCATTCAATCCGTATGTCTTGCAACCCGATCACCTCATGTTCACTTCGTCGAGCAATAGTGGCACTTCTCGAGGGTGCAGCACTCGGACTCGTAGATCGTAAAATATTGCTGGATTATATCGATCAAGGTCAGGACACCTAAAAACCCTTCCGGTAATGTCAGCGAGGGGGGAGGGGAGGGGGATAGGGTAACGACCTATCGCTCGGTACCCTTTTGTTTTTTGTTCTGCAACTACAGCTGTAACCTCACCCTCCAACTTCCAAAACTTTGAGATTGCAGAATTGCATTTGTTTAATTTCTTTTTATCCATTTATAATTTACGGCATTCATTGATGCGCCTAACGAAGTTATTATTGCAAAACAAAACCATGGAGTAACTTAAAGCCAAGATAAAATAAAATTCAGTGTCTACAGTGGTCCTTCAATATAAGCACAAATGATTTCGATTTATATAAGAACAGCGTCTTTTCGAAATCCGTTGCAACTTTTTATAAACGATTACATAGGAATAACATGCACTTTAGGGTGTAGATAACCTCTGCCTTTGTTATCTTGATTTAGTATTTTTCACTTTCTCTGTCTTACGCGTTGTAAAGATCTGCTTGATTTTCATTGCACCTGACTATTGGATTTACACATAAGTCTTGCACCAAAAAATATGGAAAGTTGGTTGAAAATGCTAAAAAAATTCAATTTGTGCGATATATCCACAACCAAAACTTCTCGAATCCATCTGGAGCATTTAGCATTTCTAACGAAATCTAAGAAAAAATTCAGTGTTTTTCTTTATCCCCTTTGTCGCATATGCGAGCAATGATATTAGCCTTGATTTTGGTTTTAACTCATTATGATTTTTGACTTTTTAAAAACCGCTATTAATTTTTTTGTAAATTATACTGGCTAGATCGATTTTTCTGCATTGCCAAACAGCTTATGATTTCCTTTTTCCAAAGCAGATGCATCTCCGCAAAGTGTTCTACAAAATTTAGGTATGATTAAAGGAATCCGAAAGGTGAGACAATTCTAGAGGAAAATAAATTGATCCTAAAATAAATGAAGTTACATGAAGAGGAATATTTCGTCACTTAATCTTATTCGGATATGATTTTCAACCCCTCGCAAAATTCCAACATGTAGGAAAAATCAGAGCTGCACTGAACATTACGTGAACTTTTGATTACTCGCTATTCCGTGAGATTTATACAATTGAGAATCAGCAAAACGTTTGGTACAACACAATAGATCCTCCTTGAATGCTAGATTTTCTGTTTATGATTGCGATAGAATTTGGTTATTGATCGAATTCATCCTCTCAATGTTCGTTATGTGGTGCGGACTTGCCTTAGCTCTTATGGCTTTTGTAAAAGCTCATGGGTTTCTCTTCTATTCGACTTTCCGCTTTGTTGATTTATCTTTCTAAGTAAGGCCATTTCAGAAAAGTAGTTGAGGAAGGCTCTTGCGTAATTTTTTGTTGAATCCTCTCAGAATGCATCCGTTGCCTGCCGATATAATAGTATCCTTGGGGGAATTCAGGCACCAGCTGGAAAAAGTAGTATGAAATAGCACATAATTTCAAAGTATGAAGTGAAGAGTGCCGTAGAATCGACAAATGCGCAGTGCATAGTTGGGTAATCACTGCTGGGATCCGAAGTGGATCACTTGCCGCGCATCTGCGCGCGTGGCTACGGTCGTGTGCTGCCTGTTCTTGGATTGGAGCAACTATACTCATTGTTTTGCTTGACACTGTGGTTTTAGTTGCTAGCAGTCTTCCTGGACTTTCCAGATATCATTATGTACTTACCCTTTCTCCTCCATTTTCTCAATCAAATTTCTTAAACAAACTCTTTCTCTCTCTCTTTGTTAGACATTTTGAGCCATTATCAGCATTGTTAGATAATTCTATTATTTTCTTTCAGAAGAAGAGAATGGCTCTCTATCTCTAGCATCGAACGAAGCATCAAAAGCGAAAAGCCCGGAGCTTCACTCATCACACGAAAACGTTACTTCTGAGAGTTCAATGGACACTACGTCGACGTCGACAAGTCCAACGTCCAGCAGCTCACCGAGAACTGGAGAAACTGTGAGCACCACGACGACGAGGTAAATGAGGCGTTTAACTTACTTGGTTTTTCTGATTTTCTCTCATTTTCTTATATTGCTTCATTTTTTGATTTCTATATTTGAAACAGACTTACTCGTTGCGATTTGGCACAAGCATTTTTCCCATTTGTCATATTTCTGCGTAGCATCATATATACGTCTTTCCCAGATCGCGACAGCATTTCGGTTGCGGCTAATGCGTACAAAACGGCGCGAAGTGTATATAAGTGCTTCGAAAACAGAACATCTCAGTACTTTTCAAGTCGCGTCCGGTATAAAAAGCGCTTCTGGAACAAAAGTACGGTCCAGATAAGGAATAAAACTGAAACTAAGTTGTGGTACGTGTAGGTGTCTCCTTTGTTTTTTCGATAACCGATCCTAAAATTTTTATTTTGCAAATTTTCGGGAATCTTTATGAGCTCTTTTTTTGCGTCTACACTATATACGAGATCTCGTCATTCCTGTTTCACGAACTCTACATAATTTTGAGATGATTATAATGTAGAAGCAAGATTATATGGCCAGCTGAATGATCACGTGTTATTCAAGCGTGCAAAGGTGTCATGAAGAGCCTTGCCGTGTATCTCATATTCTGCATACGTTAGAAATGATGTGCCTTGAAGATGCTTTGAATTGCCGATACTATTCTGATCGAACCCATCTGTCAGTGCGTGGCGAGATTGTGGCAGCTGGATCTCTGAAGTGCTACCTTTTTGCTTGCTTTACTAGAGCTTTTGTATTATACACACATTTCTTTTCGATTACTTTTTTACTCTGAGGTGGTAAATTTGTCGGTTAATATGCTGCCCTTGCGGTGTCGGCAACACATGCGCGTAAAAAATGGCCATCCAGCGCACATTTCTACTTTTGCATCCCAAGGTCATTTTTTACGCGCAAAAGTTGTCCGCAATGTAATAACATCATATTGCGACATTTTTTTAGTCATTTTGGAATGCTTCCAAACTCGTCTCACTAGGAGCCTTTCATTTTGCGACATTCCACCCCAAGTATTTGTCTTCTACAAATTTTCACCTAGTTCAACAAATTGATTGCGACATGTAAACAAATTTCGATTCCCAGCCATTATTCGCCTTGATTTTATGATGCAAGCCACCTGCATCCTTTCCTGAGCGTTGTGGCGTTTGCGACTATACTCTCTAGTTGTAAAGATCTTTATCAAACAATTTTAAGCGCGGTAATTTCCAGCCGAATGGAGAATGGCGAGCCACTACCGCGATTAGCCCCTGGAATTTACCACAAAAAGCCGGCTCCTATCCTCGTGGATACTGCACTTCCTTTCAACGGTGGTGGTGAGTTGTGGTTTGACTTCTGTTATCATGTTTGCTCTTTTGTTTTCGTCTATATTTGTGGGATTTACTAGTATTTGCCTTGCTATGGACGCTGGTGAACTCGTACTAGGGTACACATGTGCCAAGCGAGTGTTTTTACACTTGAAAGCTAAGAGGTTGAGGAAACGTAGCAGATTTTTGTGTGCGACATCTGGTCGAATTTCAGCCGTAATGATACACTCTAAGGTTTCTGACTGGAATTTCCTATCTCATGGCTATTTGAGGATTGTCTGAGAAAGTAAGAATCTGTAGCTTAGTAGGTTTTTTGTCAACGTGTTCATGTGTTGCCAATAGTATTTGCGCGTAAAGTGACAGTCTGCGTTTCATGGCCATTTTTTATGCGTTAATCGCAAGCAAGTTGTCGGCTTGCGCAAGAATGGCATTTGTTTCTGCGCAAATGTTGTCGTCACCGTAAAGGTACTATATCAATCGTAAAAGCTATCAGACTTCGTAGTTCTTGTAGTAGACAACATAAATCTTTTAGATGTATGCTTCCATAACAATATACGTTTGTGATCTTTCAAAGCCTCCCCTCCTTCTTTCAAAGAGAAGTGAAGGAGAAATTGGAGCACTTTAATAGGCTGTTGCGTGAAAGCTTTCCACTATGACGCGATAATCTCTAAAATGACTTCTTTCCACAAATGGTCAAGGCTTTCGACGAAATGATATATTCTTCTAAGTAATTCTACACTAAGAAGTGTGAGAAGCAGGCCTATTCAGCAATGGATAATTAGCCGTCAACTTCATGCTAATGAATACTAATCCTTGTCTTATTCTCACTTGGACTTGCTGCTGCGAAGACGTTCTGAGGGAGTGAGACGGGTGAGAGCAAGGGTATTAGCAACTGATTAGTTATTGACAGCTCTTCTGACTTTCTTCGACCAATGTCGTATTTTCCTTTTTTCTTTCACTCATTGTTTTTTCTCTTAGACCATGTTGATGCAATCAGTCTTTATCAGTCTTGCTGACTTTCAGTATTTATCCTTTATTTACTGTACTTTGAGAGTAGCATGGGCATCTGAACCAAGCATGGAAAAAAAAGAAGAAAATAAAGACAATTTTAATTTCGAGCAGGGTTCGTTGAAGCAATTGCAATCAGGTGGGAAATCTAGAATCCTATCGGTTATAGAAACATGCAGTTTTCGCGTGCCTTTTTTCTGAATTCTCCAGGCAAAGAGAGATCTTTTGTAACACTTTGCAAGAGAGTGTACAGCCAAATAGATTTCTTTTTAGTGTGTACATCTACGCAGTTACCAAATGGGGTTGGTCATACTTTCTTTTTCTGGTATTTTTCCCGGTTTTTCCCGTTTCCAGTAATCGTTTTGAGTGAGCAACAATGATTACCTTTCCTGTATTTCTTATCTAAGGAGACGGCTTCATACTGTCAACATCATGGGAGTTGTGCAGTTGCACACAGCAAAAAAAGGTAGGGGATTGCAGTATCTCTGGGTAAGTCTTGGATTTGCTGATCGGATGTGATTCAGTGTGCAATGGCGCATATTTTCGGTTCATATCTAGTCAGCTCTGCCTAGCTTGCCTTACGGATGTCGCCTCCGACATTTTACATGGAGCTTTTTTTTTCATCTATTTGTTGTTATTTATTTATTGATTCATTGTTTGGAGTTTAAGAGCACTGTTACGTACAATACCAGACTACTTCCTACTATAGTAGATATTTCTTGAATGCAGGTTTACTCCAATTTTCTTCCTTTCCGCCAAATCCCTCTGAACGGTAGAGATTGTCTGCTTTTTTGGGCATCTTCACTCCCCATAGCACCACTTGATAGCGACCAATTATAAGGTGAAGGTGTGTGTTTTATGTTGTTCTCCCTGCCGACCATTTGACGAGAACGCGCTCAGACGGACGGCCGCGCACAATTGGATGCGGCAGAGCACACGACCCCAATTAAACAATTACTCGAATCCGCGCCGACAACGTTGTTCGCCACGCGCTTTCGAGAGACAATAGCCACCAGCATGGCAACAAGTCAAGGCAGATTGCAGCCGGCGGGCGGCTAGAATTAAGTGGTTGTTTAGGGATATGGGTGGGTTTTGAGTTTAATGGGAGCATGCTAAGATGCATCCTTACAATGCAGGAGAATGAGCATAAGGAGGTATCTCTACGAGTCTTTGAGCATGTATTACAACGATTGTGAGCACTATCGGTAGCAGAATTTTGTGAAAGAGGGAGGTAGGACAGGGACTGCAACGCAACAGAAATGTGCTCAAGCTAATCTTGCAGACAATTTTTAGTAGCCTATGATTTTTCGGAGGGTTGAAGCTATTTCACCCCAAACAACCTTGTAATTTTCTTTACGATTTCTGTAAATCAATTAATTTCTGAAAAATTCAAAGAATGTCGATCATAATTTGTACCAAAACTTGAATCTCTGAAGAGCTTATTCTGTGAGTTGATTAGTTTGTTTGAGCATTTCCAAAGCAGTTTTCTTCTATTCTCTGTGCAAGAATTGTGCTTCAACCTAAATGATCTATCTATAACAAAGTTTACAAGCAAACAAGTTGCTTGCGCCCTTCCTTCACCCTCTTCCCTTCGGTTTTGGGCAACAGAACGATCCCACTGGGCCTTCATGAGCTGGGAATGAAATATTAACACAGTGTCGTACTAAAAATTACCCATAAATCCATTTTTGATCCATTCGCTTCAGAAATGAACTACTGTGACCGAGCCAGCTGTTTAGATTGATTCCTTGTTTGAGCTGCATTTCTGTCTCATAAGTGAAAAAAAAAACATATACTCCTTTTAATCTGCTTGGACATAGACACGATTTTCTCCGAAGTTCTGGTTTATATCCCATAAAAGTTCTTCAGTTCACTTGGGAATGATCTCCAAAATTTCTGTGTCTAGTCAAAGATCTGGGTTCTGAATGCATTTGAGTTAAACATTGATTTTTATACTGTAAATAGATTGATCAGCCTATGTTGAGATGTGAAAAGTGACTGGCTCAGCTGAAAACTCATCTTCAGTGGTTGGTTGGATACATTATTAGTTCCTCATGATCAGTTTTTCTTGAGAAAGAAATTTCTTATTTGCGATAGAAAGTCTACTATTTGCATTATCCTCCCTACTGAGAAATAATTTATTTATCTGAACCTTGATGTAACACAAAACGTTACTATCCTTATGAGTTGTGTCGTAGTGCAAGTTTTTCTGCACCGTTTTTTCACAAAGCTAAAAAGCAAAACGTATCCTTGCAAGTTGTTTACTTAAGTACTATGCCAAGCTTTTACTATGGCTTTTCTGAACATTCTCATATTTCCACTCGAGGTTTTTGCATCTATTGCTGTCCCCGTACGGAGTTGTTATGCTAGTAGTTTTGACTTATTACAGTTTTGCATTTCTGCAAAGGTTGCGTTAATGGGTGTTGTCTTCTCGAAGGAACTTTGCATGTGCATGCTTATTCAGTAGTTCTGATGTCCTAGTATTTCATGAATAGGTAAGCGTATATTCTGTATGACGCAGATAATGCTCCAAAGGGCAGAGCTATTTTGAAGAGCAATGACCTTAGCAGTAGCGAAGCGATGCAAAAGTTCATGTTCTTGCTTCTAGCTCAAATGGTAATTCTATCGTAATTAAACGAATTTGCTGCTATAGAATCCAAGCTAATCAGTAAAGCCTCTAGAAGATTCCCTTTTTAGCCTCGATTATAAAATTATTGATCTGTGTAAATTTGAATTTTTCAGCTAAATTTTGCAATATTGATGTTTATAGTGCAGTCGTTCCATTCAAAATTAATGTCAATAGTCACACTTTATTATCCGCGCTAATCCCTATCCAATCTTTTCTTAGCAGTGAAACGTTTTAGTCTTTCCTCCAAACTCAACGGACTCTGTCCTGCCTGATCATACATTTTGAGACCCAGTGAAGCTTTAGCAAGTAATAGAGTTCTTCGGTTTTTTCATGCAATTATATCGCCATTAGCCAACAGATGTTATGGGAAGCAAACCCCCTTTCTGTATGAAAGTCAGTACATGATGTTTATTGCAATTCTTTTGTAAAATTTTATTTGCATTTTTCCATCGGGCAATGAAGATCGCTGTAGTATTTGTACTTCCATATGTCGTGATATTAGGGTGTTGTGTGTCTCTTTTGAGAAAAAAGAAAAGAATTGAAAAATTTGGGTTTTGATATTATTTAGTCTCCCCTCCTAATGAGGATGGATCGCGAAATCTTCAAAAATGGTTCACATGAGTTATGAACTGTGCAAATGACTTGTTTTTACTTGTAATGGTTGAAATATTCTTAAAAATTTTCGAGGAACCGAATCAACTTTGTATGCTTCTTTATTCAATATCCCAAGGCTGTAAGCCGCAAAAAATAAACCACCAAAAATTTTAATCCAGAAAAATTTTTCTCGCATACCTTCTCAAAATTTTTCATAACGCCATTAACCTTTCCATTTTTTTGCTGATGAGGAGACAAATGCTTGATTATCGAAAAGAATGCTTTTCGTATAATTTTTGTTGGGGGAAGAGATCTAATATGATTGAACTTTTCTTTTGCAGTTTTCATAATTCTTCATCTTGATGGTTTGTATGGAGTATGTAGAAAAATATTCCTGTTTTATGATAGAAGTATAAGCTGCATTCCCCATCGTTGGCAGTAAGAAAACCAGGTTTAGATCAAGTCTGATGGGAACACTAATTACTAAGAGCGAGTAGGCATTTTCGTGCTAATAAAAAAAGCCGAATGTTTTAAGCGATTAGATCTATTTTTATATCATTCTCACCATGTTAACGGGTGAAATTAGACGGCGTACCGTACCTTGGTGGGAATATTCTTAATTTGTTTACCTCTACGCTATTGATGTGCGGTTCATTAGCTTCAGCAGCCGTGTAGGTTCACATTTCCCGTGTGCGGTATGATGCACCCTAATTGAGGCGCAACCTAGCGTATTGTTAGTGTATTCACGGGCCAGGTTCACCCGTAGTTCCCACGAGAA